CACCTAACCCGTCGGTGGTTTCTAACTCCATCTGAGGTCAGCTCTGCGTCTTATGCATGTTCCTGCGCAAGCCCCAGAATCAGAGCCATTAGCTGACTGGCTGCTGGTCACAGATGTGTGAGTAAACCCAGCCAAGGCCAGCGGAAGAACCGCCCAGCTGATCTTAGTCCAAGTGACAGACTACAGAACAGTGAACTAGGCTGGTGGCTTTAAATCAAGTTCTGGGGTGGTTTGTTGTACAGCAATACACTCCTGACATACTCTGCAAGCCACCATCCACACTTTAGTGGAGTGACCTCTCTAAAATACAGGTCTGAACATGACACTCCCCTGTTCAGTCTCCCTGACTCTCGGGGCCCATAGGGAATGTTGACCTTGGCATACTGTACTTCCCCATGTATAAGACGCTCTCATGTATAAGACGCACCTTAATTTTGGGGCCCAAAATTTGAAAAAAAATGTATTACATAAAGTTATTGAACTCAAGTTTTATTCATCATAAAATTCATACAACTCCTCATCACTCTCAAAACTCCCAACCATTAGCTTGTCCTCATCTGTGTCTGATGACGAGTCACTGTCTTCATAGATTGCCTCGTCCTCAGTTCCATCTACGGCATTTGAAATCTACAACCACTGTATAAGACGCACCCAGTTGTTAGACCCCAAATCTTTTGAAAAAAGGTGCATCTTATACATGGTGGAATACGGTAATTCTTCCAGCCCTTGATTTCACTGGCTGAGAACTTGGGTGAGGCAAAGGCCGCAGGGGAGTCAACACCCTCATTGTCCTATTTAACTTCAAGACCCAGCTTGGGGCCACCTCCTCTGTTACCCGCTTCCTTCTTGAATTCCTCCCAGGTGGACTCTGTCACCCCATGATTACTCATCTGGTACTGAGAAGTAATCTCTTTCCTTATTGGCTGCCCCTGCTTGCAGGAAGATCAAGGGTGGGTATGCCAAAGATGCTTCCGGAATCTCTGGTGCAACATCCTGCCAAGAGACCCTGCAGCTCTTCTGGGACACCTCCAGTGACAGGAACCCACTGTTCTCCAAGTTCTGTTATGGGACAACTATCATGGGACAGCCCTGCACATCAGAAAGCGCTTCCTCAAATTAAGCCAGAATGTGTCTCTCAGGGATGTTCTCTCTGTAGTCTTACTGGGGTCACACTAACTACCTTTGTTCTCCTGTCCTGCCCCCCGGCTTCTTCAGGTAAGCCCTCTCATGCCCTAACTGTGTCACTGAGGATGTGCTATTGAGTCCCTTCACCAGTCTGACCCCTTTCTTCTGAGTCAGCTAAGAGGTGGACACAATACTCCTCATGTACCCTGTCCAGGGCTAAGCTAAATGGGATATCACCTCCTTCGTTTTAGATGCTATACTCCTATTAATGCAGCCCAAGGGCCAGCAGTTATTTTGGCACCCACAGCACACTGGGCTCCCTGTGAACTGAAACCCTGAAGTGTCTTCTCCTCATACTTGCTGAGCCCTGACCAACCTTTCTGATACTCATCTGTTCCCTGAAGCACTTGGAAAGTAGTCCTGGCTTCCTGCTCACTGCCTTAAATCCAACCCCAGCCACAGGGAGTCTCTGCCACCATCAAGGCAATTCAAATGGTGGGATCTCTGGCACTTAGGCCTTTCCTCTGACTTCACGGCCTAGCAAGCATCCCAGGGTTTGGACATAGCCCTGCCCAGGAGTCCAGCTGACTGGGTGACCTTGGGCAAGTCTCTGCCCATCTCTGGGCCCCACCTTCCTTACCTGTAGAATGGAGGAGTTGAGCTTGATGATATTTTCTTTTTTAAACTTTATTGGATTCACAGAGAGATCCCTTGTACCCTTAACTCGGTTTCCCCCAATGGTAACATCTTGCTTGAGTAGAGATGAGTATCACAACCAGGAAACTGACATTGATATACTGTTTCAGATTTTATTCAGATTGCACCAGTTTGACACACACTCATTTTGATGATATTTCAAGCCTCTTGTAGCTCATAGGAGAAGACTTCCCATCTGCTCCTCACCAGGCCAGTGACTCATCTCCAGTGAGCAGGAAAATGCCTGTGTCCATTGCAACACATGGGAGTCTCCCCAGGCTGGGACTTGGGGGGCTCAGTGCTACTCAATGGTGATGGATGGGGTGATGGATGTGGAGGGGAAGGAGGCAGACAGCGTGGGCTCACACGACGGGCTTAAAGCTGGAAGAGTGGGCTGGAGAAACTCCGTGTCTCTGCTTGGCCCATCTCAGAGAGAAAGGGGGAGCCCACGCGGGTGCTGGAGAGCCATCTGCTAACTCCGTCCTCCATGCCAGGTGTCGGCCCTACAAGGTGGGTGGGGCCTGGGCCTGGACCTAGGTGTGGAATACTCCAGGTGAGCACATCTGTCAGATCCGCGGGAACTCAGAATCGTCATTTCTCCCACAGCCCTGATCCTTTTAACCAAGGCAGGAATTCTTCCCTCTGCCAATGAATAATTGGCCTTCCCAGTAGCAGGGCAGCAGAATCCTTCCTGTGGAGGTTTGCCAGTTTCTCCCCCACCGTGGGGCTGCCCACGGAGCATTGGGAAACGTTACCGCATTCCCTAGGTCAGAGGTCTGGCTTATCCGAGACTGACCTGACAGTCTGCTGTGGAGCTACAGGCCTGTGAGCAGGGTTCTGATTTCCCAGCCAACACCCTCTTCCTGAATGTGGGATTGTTGTTTGCAGTCCCTAGGAAGGATTTTTATAAGCCACCAGTTTAACACAGGGGCTGAGAATGAAAGAAAAGTGCACAGTTGGGTCAGTTCACACAGAGGGAGCCTGGGCATTACCGTCCTTTTCCAATTCCCTGCTCGCCCTGCCTGCCCTTGGCACTTTGCTACGGGGCCATTGGCCTCTGGATTTCTTCCCCGGGGGCTCAGAACCTGCATTGGTGTTGGACGCAAGTCAGCCAGGTGGCCAGGCTCTGCCCCTGGGGAGGGCGCTGTGCCAAATGGCGGAGGGAGCCTCAGCTGTTGGCAAGAGCACTGCTGCTCAGCACCAAAGAATCGGTGCCCTGTGGGAGCCCCCGGAGGTCAACTCCAAGTCTCGTTCCTCTGCCTTGGTCCCTGCTGTGTCCTCAGTGCCGATGACAGAGTTTGGCACGAAGTACGTGCTCCGTAAATATCAGCTGAATGAACGAGTGGAGATCAGTGTTGTTTCAGTGCTTTCAAATGGCCAAAGGAAGCCTGGAGTCTGGATTCTTACATGGGATTTACATGTTGGGAACTAACTCAAAAATGTTTGTTTAATCACCATGTGGTCCAAGTTAAACAGGTGCACAGGCTGGACCCTGCGTGGTGACCTAAATCCAGGCTGCCTGAACTACTCTCTGCTCGCCAGGAAACCTATGGGGCTGGAGCACTGCCCATAGGGCTGTCACCAATGGCCTGTGAGGGCCTGTGGCCTAGCTCCTGTCAGTCTCTCAGACCCCATCAACAGGCTGCAGGAACCCTGGCCTCCTTTGCATCTCTCGAACGAATCTGCGTCTTTGCTTCTGTCCCATGGGGACCAGCCCGTCCCATGCAGCAGTAGAGGCTGCTCGTCCGCCGCCCCCACTCCTTCCATGGAGAGTGACCTTGACCTAGCCCACCTGCTGTCTCCTCCCCGCGTCCTTCTAGGACCCTGCCTGCCTACAGAGCCCCAGTGGACAGCCCATTCTCCACCTTTCCGCTCCTTCACTGTTTTGTCTCCAGTGACCTTCTCCTTCCCCTTATTCCAACCACTGAATGTCATGGCCACACTTGGTCCTTGTCATCTCCTGGGATGGCCCCACCTCTGGAAGGTTCCGTGCACACATACTTACTCTGTGGCTACAGCCTCCTATTTTTTCTCACTCTATCACCTAGTGCTCCCATGACACCTGCTTTTTAAAACCATATCAATGTCACTCTCCTTCCGTCACCTCTTGTGTTCATTTCTGTCCTGAATTCAGCTATTCCCTATCATCTGATCAGTACCCACAAATGCTCTTGAACTATGGCCATTCATTGGACAAAACCGCAGCCCTGGAGCAATCCTACACTCAGCCTTTCGGGGGCTCTCTGGGCACAGCTAGAGCAGCTGAGCTACTCACACACCAAACTCATGCCGTCTAGCTCCAGCTGGAGCCTCAAAGCCCCCTGGTCCACATCTGCTTCCCTCTCTGCCCTTAACCATCATAGATCCTCCCAACATCTCCATTCTGCTCAAACCTCAAATCGCTCCATGACTGCCTCGTACTTCACCTCTCCATCTTTCTCCCTTCCTGCCTGTGAACCACCTACCTCTGGGTCTGGTTTGCCAGGACACTCCTTTTCAGCTTACATGGCGCCTCCTCCAGGAAGCCCTCTCTAATACCCCCTCCCTGGCACCTGGGCTGGATGTCCCTTCTCTGTGCTCTCAGAGTATCTCTTCTCACATTGACGGTGACACTCTCCTAATTATTGTCCCTGTGGCCATGAGCTCTTGAAGGCAGACTTTCAGGTTCGCCACTGGGTCCCTGTAGCAAGGAGAGCACTGATGCATTAAGAGTTCAATAAATATTCTTTCATGCGTAGCCCAAGTTTTTCTGGCCATGTGTCTTGGGCATGCCTTCCCCTCGCTCTCCACATATTCAGAAAATACGCTTGGTAAAGCTCAGTTCACACTTTACTCTCATCACAGCATTAATTCTGCCAGCACTAGAAGAAACCCGCCCCCATTCCCTCTGAATGCTCAACGTGTGGGATCTGTGGTGTGTTCATGTGATGTCTCACTGTCCTTTTTATTATACTATAACTATTTAGAGCTACATAAGTTTCTTGTGGATAGGCTCTCTAGCTATGTCATCTCGGTGTTCCTAGCTGTTAGCCTAGACAATTTTGGATGGGCAAGCGGAAATGCAATAAGAGATCCTTACTGGAAATTTGTATTAGTTTCCTGTTGCTGCTGGAACAAATTACCACAGACTTGGTGACTTAAAATAACACAAATTTATTATCTTATGTTTCTTCAGGCCAGACATCCAAAAGCAGCCTCACTGGGTTGAAGTCGAGATATCCGCAGGTCGGTTCCTTCTGGGGGCTCCAGGGAGAGCCCATTCTGTGCCTTTTCCAGCTTTTAGAGGGTGCCAGCGATCCTTGGCTCATGGCCCCTTCCTGGCATCACCCCAGCCTCTTGCTGCTGTTGTCCTATTGCCTTCTGACTCTGACGCTTCTTTTTGGCTTTTATAAGGACCTTTGTGTGACATGGGGCCCACTCAGAGAATCCAGGACCATGTCCCCATTGCAAGATCCTTAGTTTAGTTGCATCTGCGAAGTCCCCATTACCACAGAAACTTTTACAGTTTCCAGGGACTAGATCCTGGTTACCTTGAGGGGCCATTGTCAGCCTACTACGATAGTATTGGCTATGTCAGAAATAACTGATCAGGAAGCCACGCTTCTTGGCTCATTGCTGTTTTAATTCTGCCAGAAAATTTGGAGGATTTCTTTCCTACGGGATGAGGACATTGGAGTAAGACTTCTAGGGGTGCATCGTTTATAAAGTTCCCACACCTTGGTCCTGAAAAGCTGGCCCACAAAGACATAGATGACGGGATTCAGGCAGCTGTTGATGAAGGCGAAGAAATTGGCCCACTGGAGGCCCAGGTCTATGACATTGTCCCAGAAGCAGCCTTGGATGGCCTCCACCTTGAACAGGAATTCCAGGAAGGCAAAGACGTGGTAGGGGGCCCAGCAGACCAGGAAGGCAGCCACGAGCGTGAGAAGCAGTGCTGTGGTCTTGCCATCCGTGGGGCCCCCACTCCTCATCCTCCTGACATCCGCCCGCCCTCGCAGGGAGGCCAGGATGTGGTAGTTAAAGAAGACGATGGCAGCCAGCGGGAGGAGGAAACCCAGCACGTTTAACTCCACGATCCTTACAAAGTGCCAGGCCTCGTGGGGTAACAGCAGCACACAGGCAGAGATGTTCAGGTCCGGGACGGCTTTGACAGAGCGGAGCAGGAATGTGGGGATGCTCAGCAGGCCCCCCAAGACCCAGATGAGCAGGCAGGTGGCCTGGGCCAGCCGCCGCCGCCGCCGCCGCCGCCGGCTGGCCATGGGGTGCACCAGCACGCTGTAGCGGTCCTGGCTGATGGCCACCACCAGGAAGATGCTGACGAATAGATTGGCCTTTATGACTCCATTGACCGTGCGGCACAGGACGGCTCCGAAAGGCCAGTTGAACTCATTCCAGATGTTCTCCGCCCAGAAGGGCAAGCCCAAGACGAACCCCAGGTCGGAAGCTGCCAGGTTGGCCAGGTAGATCTCAGCCACGGTCAGACGCTGCCGGGGCACGAGGAAGATGGACAGCACGAAAAGGTTTCCCAGCAGGCCACAGGAGCAGATGGTTATGATGAATGTCGGTAACACTCTGTGCAGCAGGTCCCAGGCTTCCCAAGGATTGGCACAGGACGTGGCATTTGGAGGCAGGAGCTGGCTCTGGTTGTAGGACTGGAACTCCAGGAGCGTCTGGGATGCCATCCACAGTGACCTGCAATGAACAGCACGTAGCATGACATGGGAGGCCGCCAGCTCCTGCCCGCCGGCCTAATCCAATTGCCCACGGTTTTGGAAAGTAAAGTTTTACAGGCACACTGCCGCACCCATCCATTTACGTATTTTCCATGGCTGCTTTTGTGTTACAACACTGGCGCTGAGTGGTTGCAACAGAGACCGTGTGGCCTGCAGAGCTGAAAATATTTACCATCTGTTTGTTCCCTTAGAGGAAAAGATCGCCAACCCCTGGTATAAAGGAAAGGACCAGGGCTTTGAAACCTGAGCCCAAATCCTGGCACAACCACTTGGTGTGGGCCACTTAGACCCACTGACTTTTTCTCGGTGAAAGTCAGAGCTAATTGGATACCTCTTGTGGGACCGTGGCAAGGACTGGTGATAGTATCTATGGGGTGCTTGGCATGGCTGCCTGGCATAGAGGAAGCACTCAGCGGAAGTTGGAGACTAGTCTTATTATCAACCATATTATTATTATTATGAATAGTTAAACAAACATTTAATGAGCACCTACTTTGTGCCCGCACTTTGCCAGGTGCTGGACATACAGGGAACAGGACAGAGCATCCCTCAGCCTGAAGGCGTTCACTCTAGAGGGTTGCAGACATGGAGATAGTGGTAATGACCTAAGATGGAATCAAGCAAGGGTTAGGAAGAGGCATGGTCAGCGTGGCAGCCGATCTGGGACCAGTGGGGTGGACGGGGTTGGGGCAGTGGTGGGAGGTTTTCAGAATGATAAGATTCTTGAGCTGGGCTTGAAAAATATGAGCAATAAAATAATAACTAACATTTATTAAATGATCTCCATGTCCCAGGCATCATCCTAAGAGTTTTGTATTTAAGTGTTTTCTCATTTAATCTTCCCAACAGCCCTGTGAAGTAGAATCATTGTCATCTCCATCTGACCAATCAGAAAATGGAGCACAGGGGCTGGCCGAGTGGCTCAGTTGGTTAAGAGCTGGCTTGGGAGCATGAGCTCTGAGCAGCAGGGTCACCGGTTAGGTTCCCAAATGGGCCAGTAATGCTGCACCCTCTATAGCTAAGATGGCGACGGTGTAGGCTGCAGTGGGCTGTCGTGAGCTATTGTGTGTGGCTGGCAGCCAGTGTAGTGGCTGGCAGCTGGCTGCTGGTGAAAACTGCTGTGAGCCACCATGAGCAGCCATTCAACGGCCAGCGACCGACTGCCTCACCAGGAAGAGTGCAATGATCACAATACCAACATGGGCCAGTGAAGTGGCATCCTCCACAACTCGACTGAAGAACAAAAGGACAGTGACTTGTCTGTTCCCCTTCCTCTGATTCCCCAATCCTGTTCCCCTCCCCCAATTCCCCAATAAAATCTTTAAAAAAAATAAGAAAATGGAGCACAGAGAGACTGAGTCACTTGTCCATGGTCACACAGCAGGTTGATTGCAGAGCTTGGGTTCAAACCCAGGCAGTCCTATTCCAGTGCTTCTGTCTATTGTCTGCTGCCCATTTTGTCCCCACTTGGTAGATGAGTTCAGGCCCAGAAGTTAATGACTTATCCAAGGAGACGTAGCTGGTGGGTGACAGCACCAGGCTATGGACCTCAGTCTGCCATGACCCCGAAGGCCACACTCACAGCCACACAGCTGGCCTTCCTCCCATGTGCCCACGCTGTGGGAGAGGGATATAATGGGAAGGAAACAGACCAACTCCCAGCCCTCTGGAATCCATGGAGAGACGGGATACATGTCCTGTACTCATGGAATTGTGGGTACCAGCTGGCAAAGCTGGCCTCAACCCACTCAGGGGACCCACATAGTCCCATACACTCAGTGAGACGACTTCTTGCACTGTGGGATTTCTGGGGTTCCGCACCTGAAAATCCTTCTTCCACCTGAAGGAGTTAATATACACAAAGTGCTTAAAATAGCTCCTGGCTCTTCATAAGCACTTGCTAAATGTTCACTATTATGACCATTATTACTTAGTGATGCTTGAGATTCCTTCGACTGGGCAAAGCCTCATTGCATCAACACAAGATCCTGTGTAAGAGAGAACTCATTTCTTACAGAGACTATTTGGCTGTGCGACCTTGGGCAAGTCGCTTTATGTCTCTGAACCTGACTTTCCTCATCTGAGGAGGACCTGATGACCTTCTAGCTGTGACGTTCTGTCTGTAACTCACATACTGTCCCATTCACAGTATAATCCACCAGTTCCTCCATGCATTTATACACTAAAACATTTACTGAGCACCTACTCTGTGCTCATTATTTGGGACACAAGAGTGAGTGAAATAGACAAAGATTCCTGTGCTCAGGGTGCTTCTGTCCTCAGGGGAGGCGAGAGTCAATAACAATAAATCTACTGAACACATGTGTTAGCAGGGGGGATGGTGAGACGTGGTCAGGCTCTGGATATATTTTGAAGATAGTACCACCATGATTTTCAATCGGACATTAGGTTTGTTTTTTTTTAAACTTTTATTCCCTATGTTTTAGTTTACATTTCCATGACTATTTTGTAACTACCAATTTATACTTCTTAATCCCTTTCCCTTTTTCACCCATTCCCAACCCCGTTCCCATCTGGCAACCATCAAAATGTTCTCTGTATCTCTGAGTTTGTTTCTGTTTTGTTTGTTTATTTTGTTCTTTAGATTCCACATATAAGTGAAATCACATTGCACCTGTCTTTTGCTGTCCAACATACTCCACTCAGCACAACACCCTCCAGGTCCATCCATGCCGCTGCAGATGGCAAGAACCCATTCCCTTCCCCGGCCAAGCAATATTCCATTGTATATATGTACCACCTCCTCTTTATCCATTCTTCCATTGGCGAACACCCAGGCTGCCTCCACATCTTGGCCATTGTAAACAATGCTGCAATGAACGTGTGGATGCACATGTCCCCTCAAAGTAGCATTTTAGGTTTCTTTGGATAATTACTCAAAAGTGGAATTACTGGGTCCTTCTTTGTCTCTTGTTATAGCCTTTGTTTTAAAGTCTATTTTGTCTGGTATAAGTATTGCTACCACAGCTTTTTTTTTTCCAATTTTTGTGAAATACCTTTTTCCCATCCCTTTACTTTTAGTCTGTGTATATCTTTTGACTGAAGTGAGTCTCTTATGGACAGCAAGGGTCTTGTTTTCTTATATATTCAGCCACCATTGGAGCATCTAATCCATTTACATTTAAAGTAATTGTTGATAGATATGTAGTTATTGCCATTCTGTTATTCATATTTTTATTTATGTATTTATTTATTTATTTATTTACTTGGTCTTAAGGAAGTCCTTCTAAGATTCCTTGTAATACTGGATTGGTGGTGATGAATTCCTTTAGCTTTTTCTTATCTGGGAAGCTCTTTATCTGTCCTTCAATTCTAAATGATAACTTTCCTGAGTAGAGTAGTCTTGGTTGTAGGTCCTTGCTTTACATCACTTTGAGTGTTTCCTGCCAATCCCTTCTGGCCTGCAAAGTTCCTGTTGAGAAATCAGCTGACAGCCTTATGGCAGCTCCCTTGTAGGTAACTAACTTCTTTAAGAGTCTCTCTTTGTCTTGAAACTTTGGGATTTTAATTATGATGTGTCTTGGCGTGGGCCATTTTGGGTTCATCTTGTTTGGGACTCTCTGTGCTTCCTGGGCTTGTGTGTCTATTTCTTTGCCAGGTTAGGGAAGTTCTCCGTCATTATTTCTACACATAAGTTCTCAATCCTTTGCTCCCTCTCTTCTCCTTCTGGTACCCCTATGATGCGAATGTTGGTATGCTTGATATTGTCCCAGAGTCCTCTTAAACCCTCCTCATTTTTTTTTTCTTTTTGCTGTTCTGGTTGGGTGTTTTCTGCTACCTTATCTCCTACATTGCTAGTTCAATCCTCTGCTTCATCTAATCTGTCGATCCCATGTAATGTATTCTTCATTTCCATTATTGTATTCTTTATTTCCAACTGGTTCTTTTTTATGTTTTCTATCTCCATTTTCATGTTTCCTATCTCTTTGTTGAAGTTCTCCCTGAGATCACTGAGCAACCGTATAACCAGTGTTTGGAACTTTGTAGGTTGCTTGTCTCCATTTTGTTTAGTTCTTTTTCTGGAGCTTTGTTCTGTTCTTTTTTTTTTGAGACATATTTCTTTGTCTCCTTATTTTGACTACCTCCCTGTGTTTGTTTCTATGTACTAAGTAGGGCTGCTACATCTCCCGGTCTTAGTCGAGTGGCCTTATGTAATAGGTGTCCTGTGGGACCCAGTGATGCAGTCTCCCTGGTCACCAGAGCTAGGTGTTCCAGGTGTGTCCCTTGTGGGGATTGTGTGCACCCTCCTCTCGTAGTTGAGACTTGATTGCTGTTTGCATGTCAATGAAGGGATTGACCCTCAGGCTGATTGGTTGTGAGGACTGGCTATGACTACAGTGGAGGTGCTGTTATTCAGAGGTTGACCCTACAGGGCACGGTTCACTTATTGGGGCTCTGGTGCCTGCCTAGTCTTCCCTTTGGGTGTATCATCCTAGGAGGTGGTCGAGTGATGGTTCAGCCTGGTCTGAAGCTGACCACTTGGACCCACTGAAGGCCAAGTTCAGCCACAACCTGTGCCCTGCCTGGGGCCACCTGGAATAAGCCACAAAGAAATCTAGAGATAGCCACTCCCTGCATGTGCTTAGAAGTGCCTTGAGGGGCCAAGCCACAAACCAAGGCCGGCTGTCTCTAGTGCCGGGCTTAGCGCTGCTCAGCCAGGGGTATGGGACGTGCTGAAGCCAGATGCTGCTTGTTTGGGTTTTGTGAGCCTTTGAGAGATTTTAGGAAAGTCCATAGTATAAGCCAAGGCAGGCCGTTTATACAGAAAAGCCACTGGAAGTGGCTTGGGAGTGCCCAAAAGTTGGGTGGGGTGTGGTCCCAGAATCACCAGGGCGTGGTGAATTAACGGCGTTAGCCAGTTGCTGGAAACTCAGCTATAGCGGCCACCTGTGTCTGCATGCACAGAGGGGAGGGCGCAACAAAGAAGCAATGGCTTCC